ATGAATGTATCATCTCCACGACCTGTCAAGCAACAAAGGAAAATGGATTGTGCTACATGTACACTCCATGGTTTACACAATCCTTTACACCACTCTCACATGGAGGGGGGCCCACGAATATTTTATTGTGTGTGGGCCCCTCTCCATGGGAGAGGAGTGTAAAGAATTGTGTAAAGGATTATGTACATTTAGCATAATCCATCAAATAAATAGTGGATAACATACTTGAGAAAAAATAAAGAGATTGCAGTAAAATGATACCAATTCTAAAAATATGAAAACGAAGAAAAACATAAGAGTTGGCAACCGTGAAATATTATTAAGGTTCTCATAAAGAATCTATCAAAATTTTCAACCGAATGAAGATCTTGTAAGGATTGCTTAGGATGGACAAGAGTCACTTATCTTATGTACATCTCAAAAATAGTGCTATGATCTTTAATACAGAAATTGAGAAGTTTGGATCAGTTTGTGTAATGGAGATGTCATCTCATTACTTATGTTTGTGGATCTAAAAGTTGCTTCTACTCCTCTAGCTAGTTGTAATTGTGAATGTCCCTTCTCACTTTTACATTAATTCTTCATCAATTTGGGTCGAAAATCCATGCCCCTTCAATAGCTCTAGGTATAAACCTAAAAATTCCGCCGGGATTTAGATGGTTATTGTATTTCATATTGTTACCAATATGTTATAGTCCTTGTTTGGTCCGGATTAAAATCTGATTTTAATTTAAATTAAAGTCAGACAATCAATATTAACTACGTCTTTCATGGGTCCCACAACTTTTCAACAACACATTTCAAAAACTTCTATTACAATCTACTTAAAAATCAAATTTTAATCTCCATCAAACACCCTCATAATAAATGAAGAAAAAAACAAGAACTAAAGGGTTGATAATGATATGTGAAAAGACAAAATCCTATGAGCAAGTTGCAAGTTCTATCTTCCCTTCTTGACTCTTTTTAGTTGTCTGACAACACCCCACAACTAGTTTCCATTATGCCAATCCTAAGATCTAATTCTTCTTTTTTTTATTCAATATATAGAAAGTAAGAAAGGAAACTACCATAATCAACTATTAATTCACCAATAGAGAATATGCTAAAAGACGTTCTTCCCCTCTCGTCATTTGTGTAAGTTTTTATAAATAGTGGTGTCAACCAACACCGAATAAATACAATCTTCTTACACATATATACTCTTATCAATATATTTATTCAATTCACAATAAATTGAATCAACAAAGTTCAGTGCTAACTTAAGTGTTGACGCTTGTCATGACATCACCAAATGAAGATTGTTACAATCCCGATGTTAGAAGGGAGATAATGTGTTGTGGGAGTTGATAAGGACGGTCCGATGTATCTAGCAATTATTGGTTAACTAAACAAATAATTAAATATCAAATTTCTCTGAACTTTCGTGCTCCCATAGTGCAGAATTCACATTGCTTACAGGCCCACCAAAGTGCCGACCCATAATAAAACCTTATCTTTTCAAAACCGCCACATCTACTGTCAACTTTTGAATCTGAAGACAACTATATTTTATTACATGAAAAATGCTAGAAGTACATTAGCAATGACATAAGGGTTGACATAATGTAGATGTGTCAATCATCCACTTATTGATGTGTAAGTGTGAAATTTGAATTAAAGGTTGGATTAACTGCCACGTGTAATTATGTCAACCATTGTGTGAATGGTAATGTACCCATAGCATTACTCTTATTACATTCTCCTTTAATTCAACATGTTTTATTGTAGTATTTTCTTGTACACATGTACATGAACCCTCTCTTCATTCTTCCTATATAAACATGTATTCAAACCAACATCTTACAAGGAATCAAGAATATTAGCCCTACAAGCTGCCAAGGTTTGAGAAAAAAATCTCTTCAATAACTTTCTTTATCATTTCTTCTTCGTTTGTTGAGGTTTAAATTCTATTCCTTAAAATCATTAGATTTTTTGATAAGCTTAACAGAATTCTGGCTTCACATACAGTTAAGACTTGAGGACATATATGTTGGTCGTGCTTGATTTTGTTAACCGTCTCATCTAAAAGTTTAATGTTTAGAGAGGGTCGAGTGTATGCATTTAAATCTTGTCTTATATATGCCCCTCACGTGCACTGGAGCTAAGACTTAAAACGTAGGTGTGTGACTTTGATATCACGTTAACCATCTCTTCTGGAGCAGGGTCTCATGTATTGATTCAAATCTTGCTTCTATATATTAAATCGCATTTCTTTCAGGAGAAGCGTTCTACTGATATTCTTGAATCAAATGGATAGTTTTGATTGGACTTATTCACCTGGTGTCTCAAAAAATACTTCCTCCACATGGAGCAATCAGCAACATGATGTGGTTCAGCAGCTGAGCCCTGTGTTGGCCACTGGAACGCATGTTAATTCGAACTGCAGGATTTTGCTGCATCAGGAAGCTGCAAAATTAGGGCCTGGTGCAAGTTGGAGAGAGATCATAAATGCAGAAATGCCTTGCTCGACGACCCCAAAAAATAGCCTAATAACAGCTGATTTAGGAATTGAAAGCCATCCAAAAACTGTCTCTCTGGATTCCTTAGATTGCTTGCTATCTACAACCACGGACACATCGGTAGAAGACGATGGGATCTCCAAGGTTTTTTCTGATTGCAAAAACTCATGGAACAATTTCGGTACTCTTCATGCAGTTTCATCAGTAGCATCTGTATCTCATGTCTCCAATGGAAAACAGGAAGGCAATAGCCACAGCCATACAAATCAGTTCAAAGAGACATTTTCACAAACACCTACAGATCAAAATGCCAATCAACCCAGATCTTCAAGCATAAAGCTTTACACTACAAAGAGAAGTAGTGCACAGAGTGAACTCAAAGAAAGCCCCGTAAGATCCAAGACATCCAGATCGGATAAACATCCAAATTTATCACACATCAATTTCCAGCAACATGTATCTTCATTCGAACCCGACTCAGACGCTATGGCGCAAATGAAAGAGATGATATACCGAGCTGCAGCATTCAAGCCGGTAATGCAAACCATATCATCTAAAAACTCGAGCACTTCAAGAAGAGTCACATGTATTCATATAAACCTTATCTACGTCAATTATCGGTCAGGTGCATAATTTTTTATAATGGATGGTCATCAAAAAGCTTAATTGGTTAGAGAATGATCCCATTTAGACATATAATTTTTACATTCAATGTGTGCTTCGCGTGCAAATCAAATTCGTTTTTAACTGTGTCGTGCATAATTTTTCATAAATGAATGGCTACAAGATTTGAACCTATTAATTTAAATCTTGTTTTCAACAGATAAATCTCACCATGGAGGCCATGGAGAAGCCCAAGAGGAAGAACATTAGAATATCAACAGACCCACAAACTGTGGCTGCAAGACAAAGGAGAGAAAGGATAAGTGAAAGATTTAGGGTTTTGCAAAGGCTGGTCCCAGGAGGTAACAAGATGGACACTGCATCAATGCTTGATGAAGCTGCTAATTATCTCAAATTCCTCAGATCACAAATCAAAGCACTAGAAGAATCAGGGCATAGTATGGGATCAGTGAATTTTCCCTCTACAAATCTTGCCTACTCTCCATTCACGAACTCATTTGCCATGCAAACCAATTTTTGTTTCCAAAACCCTAACCCAAACCACCATTCCAAGACATAAGATGGTAAGTTAATGAGTATTTCTAATTAATTTTGTAGCCTAAAGTTAAGAGACTTCACAAAAGAACACGAAGGTGATCTATCGTACGAGTTCTACGATTTTCTCATTGTAATTCAAGCTTATTCTCGATAAATTTGAATAATATGATTTTTCTAGCGCTATTGTAGCTAGGCAATTAGGGTGAAATACTATCGATTTTGGCTTGAATATTAATTGTCGCTTTTGTCGAACTATATGTAAGTCATAATTAAGATCTCGCGGGTTGTTTTTTATTTTTTTTTCCCCCATAATTCTATTTTAGCCACTCTTTGCCTATTTGGTTTAGCTAAAAATCTGAAATTTAGTAGATTTTGATAAAAATTGATTAAGAGTCTGTTTGATATGATTTTTGAAAAACTAAAAGGAGACTTTGAGAACCAAAAGCTTTTTTGATTCGTTCGGCTAATTTTATAAAAGAGTTTCTATTAGTTAGAAGAACTTAGGAACTTAATCCAAAATTACTTTCTTTAAAAGCATTTTCAGAATAGAAAATTCTTCTAAAAATTAATTTTCAAACAAAAATTATGGACCCAAAATATGTGGATAAAAATTATGTGTACCATTAAATTTATAATTATTGATGCGGCTTTTATCAACTTTTTAATTAAATCAAATGGGATTTGATCGCATTATTTTTGTGTCTGTTTGACCAGCCGAAAGTTGGAAATCATGGGTGGGTCCCTAAGTTAAAACACCGTACCGTATTCAATCAAGCATTATTAAATCACGATGTAAAGTGCCATCCATCCCCATGATTTTCATGATTCATATATTATGAAACCATCATTAATTATAATTATTATGTGATTAGTCGGTCCTAATGCAAGAAGACCACTCTTTTGCCTTCCGCAATGATTTGATTAATCAGAAAACCCAAATAACACCTATGGTTAGTTAGGTCAAGAGACGGAAAGTCATGAACACCTCAACATGCTGATCGATCCGATGTTGTCTAAAGTAAGTTTGATAGATAGAGGTGTGGCATTTTAGGTCCTCTTTGCTAATGTTGTCGTGTAAGAAGCTTTGAACTAAATAATAGTTATCCAAAAAAAGGTTTGATCTATGTACGTGTGGAGATCGCTTACTATTTTTAGAAAATTTGTTACAAAAGAATCCCAAATTCATCAAATGCTTGTCATGCGTAATTTTTATAATTTTCTGAACGATATTAAGTTACTTCATCTAAAAATTTAAACTATTGAAAAGGAAAAAAGAATATCTTCTACAATTAATTGATATTTCTTTTATTCTCTATTTCTTTGAAGGTAAATCATAGCTTCGATGAGAATTATTGCAAGTTACAAGCTCATCGATAAAATGTGGGGACTCCCAAGCCAAACTACATCAAAAGAATATGAAAAGGCAATAGCATGTTGCCGAAGAGCCTGAGTTATAATATTCGTGAACTTTCAATAAATGAACGACAACAAGACTTGAGCTCGAAATATCTTATCCTTGTTAGCGTATGTTTGGTTTGTAGTATTAAATTGTATTAGGCAGCTAAAATTTAATCTCTTTCTCATTGAATACTATAAAATTTTAGAAAACTTAAGTAGAATGCAAAATTTTGAATCATATCATGATGGACTTGTAGAAGAAGTTCCGAAAGTATACAAGATGAGAATATGAAAATGGCGACTAAAGATTTCTTCTTGAAAATGTGGTGGACCATGAAAATGGATTCAGAGAGCCCAAGTTAATACTATGGACTATATTGATTGATAAGGCCTATAATCTAAGTGAGATGAAGGACTGAATCTGTTCCACAATTTGTTAACTGATCTTGTTCTTGTTCTTCTTCTATGGGGATCAAATTATTAATAAATTTGTTTAATGAGTAGTGTAGATAATGAATTTTGCCTGTGAATTCTACTTTCTTGAAAAGTATTTGCCAAAATATTTCTACAGTAATTTGAAGACCATGATTGTATACTAGATTTTCTCTATTCGATCTTCCACGCATAAAGGAAAAGACAGAACTGTGAGGCTTTAGCATAGCTTTGCGTCGAGTAATACCAACTATTGTCGCTGCAGTCACTATCATCACATCGGCTGTTTTCCTCCTTATCACTATCCACTTCTGATGTACCGGGCTTGAAGATGAACATCCCGTGAGTGGATCCCGAGGCACAGAATAACCAAGAATGTACGTCCCAAAAGACTTGTACTGGTTGCTTGTCAACTAATACGGTCTGATTTCCTCTGAATTTCCACTGCAAATTCCGAATGTGGATCAATACAATCCCGTCTATGCTAATCCACATTTCGGGATCCTTATTCCCTGATGTCGAACTCTCTACAATGATCTCGTGCTCCTTTTGCCTGTCGTCGAACTTTGCTCTTGTGGAGAAACATTTCTTGGCGAAAACGTGTTCTTTTTTAGAAAACAGAGCTGCATCAACAAGGGCAGGTCTGGATTTTGTCCTCTTATAGGCCTTTTTCTTGTAATCCCCTATTAATAACACCACTTCTTCGTCAGATACTATTGCGACGTAGAAATCTTTACAGGGTTCTGGGTTGCCGGAAAATTTTGCCGAACGAAGATCCCAATAGGCGTCCAATTGATTTCCATCAATCTCGAAAGTCTTATAGCCCTTTTTCGCCCAAAAATGCCAAGGTTTGAAATCAATCTTGCATGTCTGGTTATGATCACTCTGCATGCTATCGACCGATATGCTTAACGAATTGTTCATCAGGTTCTTGCTCCATAAAACTGTGACATTTCGCCAATATCCTCCGATATGTGTCTGGTAAACACATGATACGGCGCTCTGAGAAGTTTTATCTGTCTCGGGATCGTCTGTCACATTCTGAGCTTGAGGCGATCGAGAAGTGGAAAATGATTGAGTCCTCGTGTGACCATGTTGAGCCATTCGTGTAAGTTTTATCCTCCTTTAACAAACAAAATCTCGATTGCCCAAGGAACAATCTTGACGAAGAGAAATACATGAACTCGTTATCTCTATATGTTTCTTCTGCTGCATGAGTATATCAAATTCTTACATTGCATTATTAAACAAGAAAACAACAAACTAAGCCTTATTTTCAATAAATTGGGGTCGGGATGCAAATTTCTACATTACGAAGAAGGTAAACTTTTTGAGGATTGGTCAATAAAATCATCAGCATTGATTGAATGAAAACATGTTTACTATAGGGAAAAAACATGTTTACTATAGGGAAAAAAAAATTCGGATTGTTCCCTGTGTACAAGAAAACAGGAAGAGATTTTGCCGGAAAATTGCTGTTGGAATTATTTGGTGAATGAAAGTTAGAATAATTTTTTTTGTTTGTGGAGGAAAAGGCAAGTCTAATTAGAGGTCATGAGGAAGAGTATCCCCGAGAGGAAGGGCCCAAAATTGGTAGGCCTCAAGGGTGCCTTCTATTTTCTTTTTTGTCTTTTGACAGGTAATTAATGATTTTTATTAATTATTATAGAGTCATGCTAGTTGTACAACCTAGGTAGACAACCACTCACATGGGCGGTCCACTTTTTTTTTTTTTTTTTGAATTTTTATACATGCGGACCTGCGTTGTCAGAAAACCTCGGTTATGATTTAAGGTTTTAATACACTTCTTGTAACAATATCAAGAATTAATCGAATGGTTATGATTTAAGGTTTTTCTCATTTTAAGATGAAGAAGATCGAAACAAGTAATTCTTTTGTCAAAATACCATTGCTAAATTGATAGTCAGTATGACTTTTGAGTTTTTCATGTCATTGTGAGGATGCTCGTAGTGGTCCAATAAAGAGAGTCGAACCTCGTAAAAGGATCTTTTACCTTCTTTTGCAAAATATTTATGTCCAAATGCGACAAAAGTATACAAATATAATAGCTGTGGGCTGTGATGCCGTAGTCCAATCCACTTAAAGGCAATGATGATTGGACTTCGGCCCATTCCAATATAACTAGCTTGCTGAAGTTGGCCCAGTGAAACCAGGCCCAATACCCGGTCCAAGATCAAGTTAAATTCTATAGCTGCTCTGATAACTAACCACATCTCGAGGCCTTGATATTTGAGGGTTTCCAATCGTTTCTGATTCATTCGATTCTTTGGCTTTCTCTCTCATGTTCTAGAGGCGTCTGTGTGACCTTTTCCCTTCATCTCTTTCTGTGTGAATCTGGTTTAAGGGATTCGTTTCTCGAGTCATTTCTTTGTGAGATTACAGTGTTTGTAGGGCTTTCTTTGTGGTTAGTCTGATTGAAGTAGTTTAGGGTTACTTGGTTGACCGCTTTTGGGTTCCTGTGTAGATCTGGGTCTGACGGTAAAGAGGGTGTTTTGGATTGATGTTGTGAGCCTTATCATCTGTGAAGCTTTGATGCTAAGTGATTAATGTTCCAGTTTCATGTATAGGAAGTTTGAATGTAATAGGGTTTCTGTTTTCTTTTGATCTGTAAAACAATAGCTTTTACAAATAGGATTTCTATCTTCTAATATTGGGATAATTATATATGTTCACCACAGCGAGAAAGTTAGTTAAAAAGGAATGGCAAAATGGAAGAGAGAGAATAGAACTACCACTTTTAGAAACAAATGTAGACTAATTATCTGAATTAAGAAACATTAATCTAATCTAATCAAACAACCATATCCTACATAGGTTGTAGGAAGATAAAATAAAGTTGGCAGAAGTAAACAACCTCTTCACCTAGTCCAGCGGAAGAGTGAAGAAAATTCACGGAGACACAACTGAGCGGTTGCGAAGTCGACTCGACCGCCTAACTGGAGTAGTTAATTCTATCTTGAATTCTCCATCTTTGCCTCCCTGCATAAGGTTGGAAGTGTTTTAGCAGTGTTGTAATCTTGAAATGACAGAAAAAAATGGGAGTGCTCAAAGATAAGACAAAAGGGAAAAGGAACAAAAAATACTACTGAATTTGAGTGATTCAATATTACCTCTTTCTTTAAACTCTTCCTATCGTCAGTAAAGCTTCCATATGACAGCGAATCTTTAGTAGAAACGTGTGAGAACGGCTGAGATGGAACAGAAACTGGACGAGATTTCAACCTCTTTTGAGAAGCATTGCTCTCTTCGTGTTCAATCGCCGGGATTTTCCTGTGGGAGCTGCCTACTTCCTTAATCACAAATTCTCCTAGCAACTCAATGGTTGGCGCATGGGTGTAACTGCCAACTTCTTTAGTTGCTTCTGCTATTGAACTAGACAAGGATAGAGGCCTAATAGAAGATACAATTTCCTTTCTAATGTGCTCTTCCTCAGCTGGAAATTCTGGGGTCGTTGTCTTCTCAATGCACTCTTCTTCCAGTGCAGGATGTACTCGTGCTACTTTTTCCTCTACTATAGATGTAAATGGATTTAGCATAGGAAGAGAATCTTCTACAGAAGTAGTTTTACCTTTCCTTGAACGACAGACAAAAGCTAGAGATGCCAATATTATGGAGAAAGTAGAAACTCCAGCAACAACTAGGATATTAGATACAACTTTCATATTTTCACCATCATTATCAAATTCTTCATCAACTTCATTGACCAAGTTGACAGGCAGCTCTTGTGGTTCTATAAGTTCCATACTAGGCTGCTTCGCTCCTTCAGTATTCTGTGGTGTCTGGTCTTCCTGGAATGTGTTAGGCTTCTTCAACTGGTCAGAACCCTCAACTTCTTTCACCAATTCATAGCCACCAGCATCATCACTTGGAGCAGTTTTTGCCTCTGCTATATACTCTACTTCACCACCTTCTATATCCTTGCTTTCAGCAACTACTGCGAGTGGCACCTCTTTGGAAACTTCACAAGTCTTAACTACTTCACTATCAGAGTCATGTTTAACAGACTCCTTTCTACTAACCTCCATGTACAATGTATCATTTTCAACCATTTCAGCCTCACTGCTCTCAACTCTTTCCACACTATCGACTTCAACCAATTCTGCCTCTCTACTCTTGACCTTTTCCACATTATAGACTTCAACCATTTTCACATTATCAAGCTCACTATTCTTACCCACTTCATAATCACTCTCAAATTCAACAGGCTCGGTATTGTTATCCTCCATGCCCAAATCATCATCTTTGACCATTAGTATATTATGGACCTCAAGTCCACTATCTTTCTCTTCCACTTCCAAGAAACCACCTCCATACACTTCCAAATATACAGCTTTACATATTTGCTTCTGAATCATAAGATGGTCAGCTTTGAAACCCAAAATGGATAGTTGAATTGGTGATGGTGCTGAAGAGTTCATAGAACTTACGTATGTCTTTGACAAAAAACAGACAAACAATATCAGCAGAAATTTTAATACTCCTCTCAAACTCCATCCTTTTTCCTCAAACTCTTCAATTTCTTCTTCCTCTTCCTCCTCCTCCTCCTCCACCAGACCATCATCATCGATATTATCATCTACTTCCTCTGTGTTTTCTTCTTTTTCTTGAGCACTAACTGAGGAATCTAGAGAATCTGCTGAAGATTCCTCTTCCCCAACACCTTTATGGATTTCTTTACCATCTTTTCCCTCTCTGCTCTCACTTAGTTTTCGGTGAAAGATCATACGCCGTTTGTTTGGATCATACCGCAGATACTTAGGCCTCGGGGAGAGGTAATTTGTGTAAGGGTCATAAGGCTTCAAAGATGAATCAACAACAACGCCATTATCATTTGACACATGGGCACAATTTTTAGATGGAATAAACCAAGATGAGGATTGACCGGAGTGACCAATACTCGAATTTAAGGGGCTATTTTTCATTTCCAGATCTGGAGTTTTCTGAATTTGGGTATCCGAAAAGCTCGAGTTTTCAATCCTCTCGGCCAGAATTTTCTTTTTTGGAAATGCGATCTTTGAAGATGCAGATTTAGTGGGTGACATGAAATGTTTTGCTACTAGTTTCTTGGGGTTATGCAACTTGGAATTCATTTGGTCTTGACTTGTATCATTCTCATTGTTTTCTCCTGAACCTAATCAAATATAGATTCTTGGTTGAAAAAAATCAATAGAAAAAAAATAAATTAAAGGAAACTGCCGTTTTTCCGCTTACAAAAAAGTTGAAAACGGTAAACTTTAAACATTGTATTTCAATTGACCCAAGATTCAAAATTTTACATCAAACTAAACATTGAGAAGGGGACATACCTGAAGGTGACGATTTTGGAACCAGAGGAGATCTGGGAGTGTTTGATGATGAAAATCCTTTATTAGAACCCTCCATTTTTGTGCTTCTCTTGAATTCACTACTGGTTCTTTGAGGAATACAATTGAATTCTTTTTCTTTCCGATTTTCAAATGTGGTTTTCTCTGATTTCTTGTTTTATGATGACGAATTATTTCTTGATGGAAAGGGTATTTTTTATTTTAGAAAATATTTCTTGACGGGTTTTGGAGGGACGGAGAATTGTTACACGTCTACTACAATGAAGGAATAAAAGATGACCGTTGGCACATGGGTAGATTTTAAACATTTCAAATTTTGAATTCTTGTTTTTTGACCGTTGGAGCTGTCAGTTGGTGATGATGGCTCAGTCTGTGGAAGCCTATAGTTTGGTCAAGCATACACCTCAAGTTTGATATGAGATTATTAAATACTTGTTTGACACCCATTTTATGGAAAAATTTGATTTGGAATAGTGATTGATGGAAGAATGTGTGGTTAAAAAGTAATGAGAATTTTTGTATTTATGTGTAATATTATTTTATTAATAGAATGTGTGGTTAAAATGAAGAGAGAGAAAAAAATGAGANAATTAATTATGATCACATATTTTATAGGATTCACAATTTTTCGATCATATATTTTATTAATTTTTTTATCAAAATCTACTAAAAATTTAATTTTAATATCCATCAAAGCAAATTATTTAATGAATTTTTGTTTTTTGTTTTTATAATACTAATTCGTCGTACTTTAGTTATACAGAGTATATGTGTTAATGCGTGCATAATGTTATAAAAACTTACACCCAAATTTTATGTTTTCTTTTCTTGAAGATAAATTTTCATATTTTTGTATGTAAATAATTTGAAAGTTCTTATTTAAAACTTTTTTACAAGTGTTCACACCCACAACAAAAAAATATCTCCATTACATCTCCACATTTGAATGGTGAACAGGATTCCTTTCAATTAGCATACTTAAAATCTTTAAGAAGCTTGCTCAACTTTACTCTATAGAAGAATTTATACAAACACTCTGCTCTATAGTATATGATAGTTAACGAACCATGGGATAATAAAGGCATTATCCTAGGTCGAAACTACTTGAAAATGAGAGTTGTTTCACATTTTCTGTTTCTCTTTTGGTGCAACTGAGTCACTTGCTCTGGGACTGGGGCTTGACTTGGTGCTTTGCTTTCTTGGCTCCATTTCTTGATTGGTTGGATTTTTTCCTTTCTCCATATCAACCAGGTGGGTTTTCCGTAAATTAAACTTTTTAGAAGCCAAAATCTTCTTGAACTTGAGTATATGGCTGCTGCATTCTAACACCACTGAAACTAGTTCTTGATGCCATTATTTCATTCAATGAAAGCCTCCTTTTCAGCCCTGATTCTGGCCTTTGTTTTGGAGCACTGTGAGACCTCAGCTTTGCCTTAAAGGATTGAGTATTTGCCATATAACTGGCACAGTTTGAGTATGGCCTAAAGAAGCTATCCCCACATAAACTCTTAGCCGGTGTAACGGGGGTGTGTGGTCGAGAACTTCCGAACCGAGGAGTGCTCTGTGCAGTAGCCAACTTAGAGTCCTCTCTGACAAAGAAATAGTCGAAATCTTGGAGGTGGCGACAATTGGGGATGGATAGACGAGCCGGTATTGGACATGGAAGAGGAGGCAAATTTTCTTTGTAATAATGATAGTCGCCATATTCTGATGTGCAAGTGTAGATCCTTCGAGACCTCGACTTCGACTTGTACGAGTCTATCTCTACTATCTTCGGGCTGTCGTCATATGCATTAAGTGAAGGATCATATGAAGCTGAAAGTCTCTTGCTATGAAATTCGCTTCGAGTTTCATCAAATCTTTCCTGCAAATGTAGGAAGTATTAGTGAGATATGGATAATACAGTTTTTCAGCGAAATGATGTATACTAGTACCACTTGGGTTTCTGTTGTTGAGTATGCTGTAAGGGGGACATGCTTGGTGATTATTAGACTGTCTCTATAGACACAAAACAGTATAGATTGATACTTACAGTCGAGTTTCTAGCTCGATTCTCTGGATGAAATCTGTAGGTGGTATTGGTCGAATGACGAGCCCTTTGGGACCGGACAGTAGCCTGAACTCTGACGAGAGCTTGCATACTGTGTAAAGTTGCAGCAGCACGCTTTCGTACAAAGTAGCCTCGAACAAGAGCCTGTAATTTCACCAGTCCTTTTAGCGCCTTAAGAGCTTTCCGGGACTGACAGTAAACGAAAATTAGATTCCCATAGAATAGCAGAGATTATAGAATCAAGCAAAACTATAAAATTTAAAGGAATCTAATGACGAATGATTCCGAATCAATTTATGTTTCTTCATAGATAATTTTATGCCAGATAAAGGAGGAAAATTACGGTAGAACGAATACTATATACATGCCCTAAAATTAGGCCTAATCAAATCCAGGTAGTAAATTCAAACACAACAGAATGAGGGCCAACAGATTCAAAATGCAAATATTCAAAATTTGGATCTAAGCAATTAAATAGAATAAAACATAATTATTGTCCCAATGCATGGAAATAAAATAATATTTGTACCGTTTGGTTAGAATGTTTGGACATACTTTTGCTGAATTTTCAAGCAAACATTGGAATATAGATTCATAACAACATTAATGTCTATGTCAATATTCAAATTTATGTACTGTAAGACATTGTGCCAAAACATGTGCATAAATTTTCAAATATCAGACAACACAATAACAGAACACATTTGCCACTCTCTAGTCTCTCCTCACAAGTCGATTTTAAGTATGAGCTTTGCCCGAGTTCTAATTACCAGAATACTGTCCACTCTATGAATTGCAATTTAAGTAGGACTGAAAACTTACAGAACACAAAAACCAAACATAAATTGAAATCCCACTTACCAAATAACCTCTAAAAACTGACTGAATCTTGATGGTTGCCCACCTCTCCCTGCCACCATTGAACAAACCTCCTCTGCCTTGGCTTGTGAGTCTCACAACAGCAACAGCCACCTGTGCGGCAGCAACAGCAGCCTCTGCTGCTGCGGCAGCAGCCACCGCAATCGCATGCTCGTTCTGCTCTTTCTCATTCTCAGCAATGTAAGATCTCGTCCAGCCAGAGTTAGTCACCGGAATGTTAGCCGGAATTTGACTCAACCCCCCTGATTCCTTCCCTGATTTTTCAGAATTCCATCTTTTCTTATCCCTTTTTTCAGCATAATTCGAATTATTCTCCACATTTTCCTTCTCTTTCTTCATCCCCAACAGGCCCCTTAACCACCTTGTAACTTTCCCCATTCTTTTCTCTTCAAGAAAGATATAAGCACAATGCTGTCACAGTATAACAGACCAAAGATAATGAGAGAGGATGTGTTTAAATACTAGAGAATACAATGTGAAGGACACTTATCCCTCATCTCGTGTAGTGGATTAAACAGTATAAAATTGAAGAAGAACCCCCTTACTATTGAGTATTATGTAGCAAAGATATGGCCTTAGAATCTTTACATGTTGCAAGCATGTATGTAATTCCAGCATGTAAGTAATTTAAAAGCAGGAACACAGAGTGTGGAGGAAAGATTAACAAAAGGGCATCAAACATTAAAATAATTGATGGATAGAGACTGGATTATTTTTTGGAAATTTTTTAATCTGACACAGCCTCGTGAAGAACTGGTTTACAGGACAAAAAGGTATCTCAGATAAAAAAAAAAAAAAGATTTAAAAAAGATTGAAATCTTACAAATCCAAACAAACAGAAAATACAGAAAATCAATGAAAAGGTTTGAATAAGAGTGCAATAATAACCTAGAGAGACATCAAATGTCTCAAGGATTCAAACCATTGTCACTTGAACAAATTCAAAAAGGCCATTGAAAATTCCACCTTCCGCCAATGAGAAACTTTGGTTTCCTTACAAAAAGCATAACCATATATGCCCTATATGGTAATAGACAAATTCAAGAAAAGTGAAAAGGTAATAATCACAGAGAGAAAATACTCAAATTTTATGCAAAACCCACCTCAAATTCAAAAAAAGCACCCAAAACTCCACTTCCTCCAATCAGAAAGTCACAAAACCAATATCAAATATCAATTCTCTCTCTCTCTAACTTTCTGGGGCGACGTGTATCAGAAAATGATGAAATCCTATCACTTCTCAGCCTATGCCACCATTCCAAGAAAATAGAATCGTCAATCGTCTTTATAAAGGGTGAAATCTATTCAAAGAAAAGGTTTTAACTTTAATGGCCTTTACACTGGAGCCTTTAAAGACTAATCATAATAAATTGGAAGGAGGGTTTCTGTCTAATGAGTCTCTCAACTGTTACATTTAATCAATACATTAGTGATTGATACAGTTTGATGAAATGTACGATAGAAAGTGAATTTCGATCGATTTATAAATTTGTCAAACTTGAGCCTAAATCTTTTGGATTTTGGGTACCCATATTGGTCTTGGACTTGGGTTGACTTGCTCAGAAATCTCTGCCGTTGTTGGTGCAGAAAATCTCTGCGAGAGAGTGGGTTTTGGCGTCTAGTGACGAAGGGTGTGGTCGCGTGATTTGATATAGTGTGTATTATGTAAGCCAATCTCGATTGATTAAGAGAGTGTTTGGTAGAAATTAAAATCGGATTAAAATAAAAAAATTAGCCGTTATTGTTGATTTTTATTAGATGAGTGAGACCCAATAACGACTATATTTTCAATTTTAATTGGATTTTGAGCCGTACCAAACAGGCCATAATTCTACTTGTACCAAAGTGATTGACCGAAGTGGTTGACAATCACTCACAGTGGTGGATCTCACTGTGATTAAAAAAAAAAAAAAATTATCCATCCACCCCATGTGTGAGAGACTGTTAACAAACCGGCCCCCCTCCCCACATGTATAAGTAGCATCTCTCGTCTTGATTAGGTTGAATATGGAAACACAAGGACAATGTGTGTATCAATTAGGAGTGTTACATGAATTCTTTTTGCTGGCTTCCTTTTATTCGTTGTTAAATCAACTAGAAAACAAGATCCATCACCGATGCAACAAGCAATGTTTTAGCTTCTGTATTGTGATCCCCCCTTTTAACATGTTTTTTAAGTCATTTCGAAATATCGAAGACCTTGTATCGGTAGATAAATCATAAAATTACTATGAAATCCATTTATAGTTACAGTAGGCGTTAAGAATAAGGAAAAATGATCTACTAAGTATTGTGTTTAGCTTCATGCTTGAATATGAGCGATCAATTTGATTAGACCACCATCTATATTCCTTACTCAAATATTTAAAAATATGAAAAAAACTATTTTGCAACTCAATTAACACAAGAGCAAACTCTCTGGGGCAAAATTTATAGTATAGTCCATGCTACGTAATATCGCGGCGCAACTCGATCCAGCTAGTAGGGGTCATTGCACTTGAGTTAATATTGGCGCAAATATATATAGAATATAAAAGGCTTGTACAACTAATCGAATTAGATTATTTTCCTTGCCCCAAATTTTACTGCCAGTTGAGTTGGACTTTCATTTATAATATTTAAAAAATAAGCATAATAAGAAGCAAATCAATAAGACCCCACACCATAAAAGTGTGAAGGTGAAGTGATCCACGTGTTATCCGTTGTTTGATCGAAGGGTCGAAGTGGTAAGAGGTGGAACATCACTGCTGAAATACTATCACGTCACCTCGTTTCTATTAGTTAGGGGATCTTTTGTACAGAGATCTATACAATTGATTGATGTGAAATTTGTGCAGCAGACGCCAAAATGTCAAGTCACAAAATTCACTCTTTAGGAGGCATTAATTACTCGTTCGCCTAGGGACGATTGATTGCTACCTAAGAGAGGACGTCTCGACCAACAGATGCAGCCACATATCCCTCTATCCAACAGTCCCAAATTCACCCATTTCCATGTAAATAACCATACTTAGTGCCATTTCAAAGGCCATGGAATTCTATACACTCAAACATACACTTTGCTAGAAGGGCAATTTTTATTTTAAAAAACCAAAGAGTAATATCCTGTTAACCAATTGTTTTCCAAAACTTTATCACGAAACTTCTTCTAAAGAGATCCACAAGACTTTTTCAGCCAAAATACCTAAAGTAGCTGGAGGTGATTCGTTGATAAATCAGGAAGAAAGGGAAGTTGAGGACACGGGATTTAAGCCCTACATTCTGTATTTAAATAAAAAACCTAAAATATCACAAAAATGATCTTTTTTATGAGCAACCAAATCATTTGTACTTTGTGCAAAAAAAGATTTTTTTTTTGTGACGTTTTAGTTTTATTATTTAGGTTCCGTTCGGGAGGGATTAAAAGTCAATTAAAATTGAAAATATGGTCGTTATTGGGTCCCACTCGTCTAATAAAAGTCAACAATAACGGCTATATTTTCAATTTTAATCCGATTTTTATCCCTCCCATACAAGGCCTTAAATATTGAATGTGAGGCTTCAATCTTGTATCTCTTCTTGCTTTATCAACTGATCACCTTCATCTACTTCAAGTTTCTAGTCTGAAAAAGTTTTGTGAATATTTCTAGAAAAAGTTTCGTGAAAAGTTTTGGGAAAAAATGGGTAACGCAATATTACCCTTGGTTTTCTAAAATAAAAATTATCTTTTGTGTTGATTAAACGGAGCAAATGATGGAAGTTGTATAGAATGACCTCACAATGAAATGTTAAAAATGAGGATGAAATTGTAAAAAAAAAAAAAAAATGAAATGTATGAACGTTTTGTATAAAAATATTGAATTATGGGGGATGTTTTGTGCTAATTATTCAAATCTTTTTTTTTTTTTTGGTTGATTTAACGGAGAAAATGATGGAAGTTGGACGGAAGGACCTCTTCCGCAATGAAGGGTAAAAATGATGATGAAAATGTCTAAAAATGAAAGATAATGACGTTTTATACAAAAACATTGAAAGATAATGACGTTTTGCGTTAATTAGCCAATCATTTTGATCCAATCTTGAAAATATCATGAATCTGAGTTCACCCCAACTTGCCACGTGGACACTACCCAGCATCCTTACCGTAAAAGTTACTTAACAAAGTAATTTTCGAAATGCAATCCAACTAAGCATGGATAAAAATATCATTTTGATATTTCTCTATTGAAATTGTGGTGGATTTTAAAAATCTTTTTAAATTTAGGTGTTCTCAATTAAGATTTTAATGGGTTTTAATGAAATCCATTAGAATTTAGGTGTATCCAATTGAGATTTTAATAAAATTCAACGAAATCCTTTAAAATTTAGGTATCATAATATCATTAATAGCTAATGAATTTATAAAGATTCTATTAATAGTGGGATTTAAAAAGACTTGGATGGATTTCAAGTTTTAAAAATACATATAATTAAATCTCTTGAAATTTCATCATATTTAATGAAATTCTTATGGAATTTGTGAAAATCTATTTAAATTCACGAAATTTATTAGGATTTATAATATTTTAAAATCCATCGATATCTTAGTCGATGACACAGTGTCTAAATCTACACCAAGAACCGAATCTCCATAATTTTTTGAAATTTTTATCTTAAATAAGTTAAAGTATCTTATTTTTTCTAAAATATTTGCTAAATAATTAATTTAGTCTAAACCTAAAATATGATTTTACTATTTTCTAATTTTCAGTCAAGCGCTACTTAATCAAATTAACGTAAGTTTTATCCAATGCCCTTATTTTATTGTAGTACCATTTCTGCCGTTATATTATTGTGAACTCGTTATCTTTCTCTTTTTGTGATTTTAACAGTCAAATCTATAAAGAACTTAACGAAGAGATGAACAAAAAATATCACGAGATTGGATTACATTATTTTATAAGAGTTAAAATTGAACATGTCATAGTTGAATTAATGTAGCGTAGCATTATTGTAAATGTATATAAAAAATAATTAATGTACGAAACCCGGGGATTGAATAGAACCTAACCGAATGGAACCGAACCCGAAATGTTTCATAATTAAATTTGGACTCGACGATTCCATTTATTAAATATCCAAAATTCGGGTTCAATTCAATTTTAAAGAGAGCCGAACTGAATCGTACCATATTTAACCATATGAGGGGATGTCATCCTAGGTGTTAATTCCGAATATACAAGTAATACGATTGTAATTATAAAGATATAATTGTTCTTATAAAGATATAATTGTTCAAGTATAAACCATAATCTCTTCATTAGAATAATTTATGTCGATGCTAATGCTTAACACGTTACAAGTTTAACGTAACACAACAATTTACATAAGTTTGTTAATCAGAAACAAAACATTCTTGGCTTGAAAACTGTCACTAACCATTTTCATTTTTCTTACACTTTGAGATGTTAAAAATGTTAATTCGAAAGGGATAAAAAGAACCAAAATCTCGTATTAACCCGAAATTACATACTTAATTTTTAAAGAATTCAAGAAACAAATTCTGAATTTCAATAGTATTAGAATTATAATCCAATTAAATGGAAACGAAATAATTTTAGTTCAATTTTGATTTTTATTGGATCTAATAATTCTGATAACTATTTACATGTGTTTTTTTTAAAAAGGAAGAAACCAGGAAAAAAAAGCAATTAGAACCGCGTCGGTCAGTGCGTGGAAAGGAAACGGTACAGAAATCGATGAATCGGTGGGCGAATAAAACAGTAATATAAAAAAAATATCTATCCATATTCCAATTCCGTGTCCCACTGCTACTACAATCTCAACTTACAATCTTCCTCCACTACCCCCACCAAATCTCCTTTTTTCTTTCTACTTCTGGATTTCTCTGTCAATTCAAGGGCTTGATTTTCGTTAGATCTGTCAATTTAATTGCCCAATTTTGAGTTTTTTCGTTTTTTTTAAAATTTTTAATTTATGGGTTCAGTTGCTTTTGTGTTTGTTGAAATCATTAGGGCCTCATTATTTAGAGTGTGATCTTGGTTTTAATTTGTTGAAATTCTGGGAAAAGAAATTATTTTTGAGGCCGAAAATTAGGGTTTATATAAAGTCAATTGTTATGTTTTGGGGTTGGATTATGTTTTTTTTTGTTTGATTAAGAGTTAGGTTAGGGTTTTGTTTGAAGATATAGTGTTGAGGAGATGGTGGGATCGGATAGTTTGAATGTTTCGCCTTCCCCGTCGCAGCAGAAGGAAAAGCAGTTGCCGAAGCAGTGGGGGGTGACGAAACCTTTGTCACCAGCGGGGCCCTTGGAGGTGGATATTCAGAGAAGCAAGGAGTTGGAGAAGGTTTGGGTTTTGAATTTTTGTTTAATTTATTGTTTGGAAATTGAAATTTCTGTTTCCTTTGGGATTCTGATATGTTGTGTTTGGTGCATTTTAGTTTTTGGTGGATGCGGGACTATATGAGAGCGCAGAAGAAGCTGCCAAGAGAGAAGAGGTTCTGGTTAGACTAAAACAGGTATGTTAATTTACGAAACTGCGATGCTTTTGTTTGAGTTCGAACTTACATAGTATCAAATCAGGGACTACAATTGTAATTTATCAATATTCAATACATAAATAATTGGAACGGTAATGATGTAATTAATAAGAAGGGGGACAAAGAATTCCACTTAAAAAGGGTACACGTGTCTGAATTACTAGTTAGCAGAATATTAGGCAACTGTGCAGTTTTGATGAAAATGGGTGGGTCAAAACTGGTGATGGATGATCCAGATGTATCCATTCATTTATAAACAGTTAGAGCTTATAAGATCTTTTTTCAAGCTTAACCAAGCAGGCTTAAACCGTTTGAGACAGTTGTTGATGTCTAACACATAGAAACTATCTATTTTAGCATATTTAACAGGTTTGAAAATGAACAAGAAGTCTTCTAGTTGAGTGTGTCAATTCACAGAAAGGCGAAACTTCTATTGACTAGTCTAGGGCTTTTACATCAAATTGTTGTGGCCATTTCGATCATGGAAATCGTGCGTGATGCCAAGCATAAGTTGAATTCAGTCATCTCGAATTCATTTGTGATTTGGCCAAGATTCTCAAACTTGAGCTAAATATTTTCTTTTCCAGTAGTAATAGCTTATATGTTACCATCTCTGACTTAATAATGAATGCGTGTAGTCTACATGAAAAATACATATTGTTGGTGTCTGATCTTAAGGGGCCACCATGGACCAAGTGTGGACCCAGCCCAACGTAATTAAAAAAGCTTAATTGTCAGAAAAGCCATGTGTTTGAGGTAGGACTACAGGGGCTTACCTCGTCAAGACGACCAAAGCCACTGCCATTGGCAGATATCATTATGAGTAAATGGACGAACGTTTCCCATTAACGTCAGCACAGCCATTTCCACCAATTAGAAGGAAGTAATTGTCTAGGTTGCAAACAATGAAGACCTAGGATGCATGCTATGATTTAGGTGTCATGATTGTCTGCCCTCGTCGAACTCACCAACCAATGGAAACCTCGAAAATAGGGCAACGACACACATCTAGAAAACGGACACGGTAGATTGACAAGACTGAGGGCGGCAAGCTCCTGTCTTAAGGCCTATTTAAGGAAGCAAAAAGCTTCCAAAGGAAGGCCGAGCAAAACATTCTCTCTGTAATACACTGTCAAAGATCACTCAGTGAAAATTTACTATATTCCAGCAATTAAACACAATTATTTTATCAAAATTCCTTTTTAAGTTCATCTAAAATTGCCATGCCAGTTTAAGTCATCAAAATATATCAATGTTTTTATGTTTTGTCATTCATATTAACTTACGTTCTTGGATCTAGATGATATTTATACTGGATTTTCATTTGCGTTTTAGATTGTAAAAGACTGGGTGAAAGCACTTACACTCGTGAGGGGGTACACTGATCAAATGGTGGAAGACGCTAATGCTGTTATCTTTACTTTTGGTTCATACAGACTTGGGGTAAGGAGCTCCCAAGTCTACAATAGCATTACAATCTTTTCGTTGGATTATTATGCTAGTTTCTTATCTGGTTTTTTAAGTTTAAATTCAAGGTATAGTGATTGTTTGTGTTATATAAAGTTTCTATGTATGGGGGGAGAAGATCAAGAGTTCTAATTGTCACAATGTTTTCATGTTTGTACAGTTAATCAAAAGAAATGAGTTATATCTATGCTTATTGTAGAGGTGGTGGTGGATTACTCGACCTTGAAAAATTTCTGAGGCCATCTCTGAAAGGGTGGACTTGTTGGGTTGAAATTTTTTGCTGTTTATTTGTATCGCAGCAATTGCCACTGATTGTGCTTTCCTCGAAGTAGAAGCTTCTTGTGAAGTGTCATTTGATGCTTTGTTGCTCCCATTAAATTTTATGTTGACATCTTATCTGCAGACAGATTTATTCTGCCATTTTATCTGCACATAGGTCGTTCTAAATGAGTGGTTCAATTGTATGTTATCTTTTTGGTTTCTCACGCTATAGAAATGAACATAGGTAATCTTGTGCTCATTTGTAACTTCTCCTTTCTCTCTCCCTGCGTGTGGTACTGAATTTGGATTCCTCATGTCAGATGTCATTTTTCTTATTAGAAATATCTTGTAACTATTACGTTTGTTTGTTTTGAAGGTACATGGCCCTGGAGCTGACATAGACACCTTGTGTGTTGGGCCATCTTATGTGAATCGGGAGGTAATTTGTGATTTCTTTATTCCATTTTGGAACTGGTCTGTGTAGTTTAAATATGTACTGATGTGGACCTTTTCTTTTCCAGGAAGATTTCTTCTATGGACTCCACAATATTTTAGCCGAGATGGAAGAGGTTACGGAACTCCAACCAGTACCTGATGCTCATGTTCCTGTTATGAAATTTAAATTTGATGGAATATCAATAGATCTTCTTTATGCAAGCATTTCTCTTTTGGTCGTTCCTGATGTAAGTTTTCCTTTGAACTCTATGGTTAGTTTACATTTTACAATTTTTGGCCTCATAATTGTTTAGTTTAGTTTCTTGCTGACAGTTTGAATTTCATCGATAATGGATGCATTGTTTGTTGTGAAACTACCTTTTTCTTTCTTCCTTGTCTTCTAGCTAAAACAAGGCAATGCAAAGCAGTACTTTCTTTCTCTGTTTCCTTCCCTTTCTTTCTTCCTCTATGTACTGTTATCTTTTTTCTCCTATTGCATGCTTATATCAAATTTAATTATGCTTTATGGTGACTGGTTTTTAAGTCATTAGACTTTGATGAATCATTCCTGCTCCTTTCAATAACTTCTGTGACCTTGAGTATGTTTGTGTGTTCATCTGTGACTCATATCATGGTTTTAATTGTATTCCCCCTTTTATATGTCTTGCCTGCTTGTTTTTCTTCCTTTGTGTTATAGCTGGTGAGGTTACACAGCCATGAATCTAAACTTGCATAAATTTTATGTGTTTAGAAACTGTATAACAAGACTCTCGCCACATTGTTTGTGCATCAAATTTTACATTGTTTAGCCCTAACATAAAGGTCAAGTAAGCCGTCATATTATGATACTTGGATTTGATTTGATTGGAGGGAAGATGGATAGGTAAGTAGGCATATATATTTCTTCTTTTTGCTCCGTGGAATTAGTCGAGGTGCGCGAAAGCTGGCCCGGACATCCACGGTTATAAAAAAAATATATATATATATTTTTTCTTTTCAGTATACTCTTTTGCCCAATCAGATGATTTTATAAGGGATCAGTATCCGCCAATAATTTTTGTTATTTTTTCCGATCATGACGATTTATGTCTTTCTTACACTAGTTTTCTTATAACTGAATACTGATGAAGTGAAATAAACATGATCCGAAACCTACATTAAAATTAATATGTATGGAGGTTTTGTACTGATCTCTTACTCCATCATAACGAAGTTTCATATTTTATGTAATCCTATATTAGAGAACCATGCTCTGCACCTGTATATAATCAATATAGGGAAGATGGATAGTACTATATTGCATTTAATTGAATGGAATATCAACTTTGGTAGCACTCTATTTATTTCTGACTAAATTCACTGATGTGCAATGTTAACATGATTACATTGCTTGTTGCAATTCTTAAGCGTTGTTGTACTTGATCACAAATTTACGGGCAGGATTTGGATATTTCCAATATGTCTGTTTTATACGAAATTGATGAGCCAACTGTGCGGAGTCTTAATGGCTGTCGGGTTGCAGACCAAATTCTTAAGCTCGTTCCAAATATTGAGGTGAACATATGCTTACATGGTCGACAGTAGTTTACTTTTGCTTGCACTTACGCAAGTTGATTTGATATTTTAATGTCTGATTTTCTTATAATTTCTTTTAGCATTTCCGTACAACTCTGCGATGTCTAAAGTTTTGGGCTAAGAGACGTGGTGTTTATTCAAATGTAAGTTCCTTGTGTTTTAGCTTATCTCTTTTTTTTCTCCATTTGCTCTGATTTCCGATATTTGCTATTTGTTGTCAATGATTTTGTTTTGTTCCCTAGGTGACCGGGTTTCTTGGTGGTGTCAATTGGGCTCTTCTTGTTGCTCGGGTTTGCCAATTTTATCCCAATGCAAATCCCAGTATGCTAGTGTCTCGCCTTTTCAGAGTTTATACACTATGGCGTTGGCCAAATCCTGTGATGCTTTGTGAAATAGAAGATGATGAACTTGGATTTTCTGTGTGGGATCCACGTAAAAACCCTTGGGACCGCAGTCACCACATGCCAATTATAACACCTGCGTACCCATGCATGAATTCTAGCTATAATGTTTCAACAAGTACGCTCCGGGTTATGATGGAGCAATTCCAATTTGGTAATAAGATTTGCGAGGTAGCTAAATGAAGTCTAAAGCTGTTTGGTTGTGCAGTATCATACAATTATAGCTAGCTACAATTGTGCTTTCTTGTCCATATGCAGGATATTGAGCTGAACAAAGCTGAATGGAAAGCATTGTTTGAGCCTTACCTGTTTTTTGAAAGCTACAAGAACTATCTGCAAGTTGATATCATTGCTGCTGATTGTGATGACCTGCGTGCTTGGAAAGGCTGGGTTGAATCTCGTTTGAGGCAGCTGACTTTGATGGTAATATCCATTGTGCTTATACCAGAATTAACCTAAAGATAAAGATGAAGCAGATTTTCTTTCATATTCATGCTTTTTATCCAATGATTGCAGATAGAGCGGGATACCTATGGGAAATTACAGTGCCACCCTTATCCTCATGATTACGTAGATCATTCGAAGCAGTGTGCTCATTGTGCCTTTTTCATGGGTTTGCAACGGAAACAAGGAGAAGTTATTCAGGAAGGTCAACAATTTGATATTCGCCAGACTGTCGACGAATTCAGGCATCAAATAAATATGTACATGTACTGGAAGCCTGGAATGGAAATATACGTTTCTCATGTTCGTAGAAAGCAGATCCCTGCTTATGTGTTTCCTGAGGGTTATAAACGCTGCCGACATCCAAGGTCAATGAGCCAACAGCAGCTTGACAAGGCTTCTAGTGAGGATGGTGAGGCTTGCAGGACTGGATCTGCCGAGAGACGCCTTAAAAGGAAAAAAGAGCTTGAAGAGATGGAGATGAAGCAAGAAAGTCTGGAAAAAAGACAATCTATTAGTCCTCTGAGGCGAGATTCAGCCTCCCCCGACCTTCTTTGTTTAAGAAGTGCCAATGCATTGAAAGGATATTCCATGATTGAAACTGTGACTATCAAAGAAAGGTCTCAATCATGCCAGCCTATTGGTGGAATCACTCCACAACTGATCCCATGCTCTGAATCTAGTGGGGGCAAGATGCAACATCATGATCAGGATGCGGAGGTGAATACAAATATCACCATATCAAACCAAGGAATGCACAATGCAGAAACTTCCGATGCTGGGTGCATTCCTACTACAAATAATGGTGGCAACCCAGAAATCAACGATCAAAGGTTCTTACGGGGTGATATATGCAAGGCTAATTCAAAGCTCCGTTCGGATAGTGGGCGCAAAAATGTTGCTGGTGTTTTTGAAGACGAATTAAGGGAGGAGTTAGAGGTTTTGGATTTAAGTTGTCTTTGCCCCTTACCTTTACTATTCATTTATCTTTTCAAATATCTTCTATTTAACTCTTTTGAATATTTAGGCTTGACAGAGATTGTTGCGACATTTTTCTGATCCTAGGATCCTTGAGCATGGTCATATTAGCTTAGTCTTAGGTTTCTTACTTGCATCACATTGATGTAATTATTTTGCACTGCTTTTGTTTCTATGAAGGCTAATGGGCAGCATGGGATGGTGCTGAACTCTGGAGATGTAGTCGGCTCAGAACCTGTTCAGAAGACGGTGATGAGGCACGTTGATAGAAATTTGAAACTTGCGGATATTTAATTAATGTCGGCATACTATTTTTGTCTTTATGCTGCATTGTCTTGTTCTTTTTGCTGTTTCTATAGCAGGGTGAGTCTTACATCGAGTGCCTGAAGATTACAGGTCAATTGACGTAGAACATTGAAATAAATGCTGAGTTAAAACTTAAATGAGACAGAAAGCCAGCAACTCGGGTAAGTAATATGTTCATCGCTGGCTTTCATTTGTTTCTGATTTTTCCAGGCAAAGGTCTGGACTTTCAATCTTCGAAGACAGGAAATTAAAGAGCAATAATCTGAAGAGCTCCAATGGTTGCTTGAATGCCTTGTATATAGTTTATAGCTTTCTCTAAGCATGCTGTGGTATCAAAGTTGTTCGGCTTTTTATGCTTCTAAAAGAGACTGGGGACTGTATTACATTATTTAGGTGCCTGTTTCCCTTGTTGGTGGGTGTTGTGGGAGTAGTATTTAAACTGACAGAATGGAACTGTGTGTGTGAAGACATAGTGGATATAGATATGGAGTTGGATTTGGGGTGAAATGTTTGTTGTGTTTTAAGGAAGTTTTAACTTCGGTTTCTTGTACTTTTCCTAGACTTAAAACTTTGTACATTGCTAGCCTGTAATGACATTTTCGTCTCTCTTTGTGCTTGCGCTCAATGAATGGTCGAACTCTGTGTGGGCAGATTCTAAAGCTGTCATACATCTCTGTTTTTGCCAATTTTTCAGTTTCTTGTTGCAAAAATAAAATTATATTGCATATCATTCTTAATAAAGATATATATGTTCAGTTACGTGAATTTGTATTTTTTTTTTTTTCCGTGACGACTCAATCCATGGATTTAGGGGGAAATCCTGAAATAATTAGATTCTAGAGTTGTAAATGGTCTGGGTTGGGCAGGTTTTGATCTATTTTTAGATCAAATTATTTAAATTTTAAGTTTTAGATTATTTTACAGTCGCTCTCATAAGTTAATTGATATTTAGATCATTGGGTCCTGCATGGATGGATAAATTGCTTTTGGAAAATACATGTACATCATCATTTACAGAGTTTTTCTTTTTTATTTGATTAATGAGGTTTTGATTCATTCAAATCTCGTCACTTCATTTGTTGGTAAGTTGTAATTTACATATAACACAATCGATTTCCTGTTGAGCCAAAGTCTGCCCCCATTGACTCACGGGCATGAGAATGTGTGTCTACGCCAAACCGGAAATAAGCTATGGAGCTTCAATGTTTTCTGGGATCGTGCCTTTCCTTTGCAAGCCTCCTTCCTCTACTGTGTTGTACGAATACTATGGATTTCTTCAACAATGGGCTCAAAAATCAATCCTGACTTTGTTTGAACTAAAGAATCAAAATGAGTTTAGTGGGAAAAAAAAACTTAATTAAATTCGTTGTGTGAGATCGTTCTGTTCAGTTATAATGGTTCTGATTCTTATCCAAAATCTCGAAAGATCAAGGAGTTCAACCTAATTTTCTCATTAATTTATAGATTCTTCAATTTAATTATGCCTGTCTTCAGATCGATAATTGAAAGAAAAAAAAATCAAACAAAGAAAAAGAAAACTTTCAATATTATGCATGCGAAAGAGATAAAATTCCATTTCATTAAAAAAAGAGAATTCATAGAAAATGCAATACTGTTTATGTCAAAACATTTCGTTCTGAAATCCGCCTTTGATTCCCACCCTTTACCATAAGTGAAATTTTCAAGATCTGATATAATCTGTTCCACAATTTTAATGTTTTCATTGCATGTTTTAATGACTATCTGTGTCTACAAAAGAAGNCATTTACCGGGTGCACTTGGAAAAAGACTAATTTTTTGAAGGAAAAGTAACAATGAAGGAGGGAATGGGGAAGGTCGCGGTGAAAGCCGCAGTGATAGGCATCGCGGCAGCTGTGGGAGTGGTGACATTGGTGGTGCGGAAGCGGATGAAGTGCTCCGGGAGGTGGGCAAGGACCATGGCTATTGTGAAAGAATTTGAAGAGAAATGTGGGACTCCCGATATCAAACTTAAGCAGGTGGCCGATGCCACGACGGTGGAAATGCACGCCGGATTGGCTTCGGAGGACGGGAGCAAGCTGAAGATGCTCATTTGCTATGTGGATAATCTTCCAACAGGGTATGTATTTTATGATCACCTTGTTGTTTATATAGATAGATTGTGTGAGAATAGAGTAAATTTTGTATGTGCTATAGAAGTAGGAAAACAGGTATATGTTATGGCATGTTTGGTAATAAGATTGGATAGAATCTCATACTGTTCAGTCCACTTGATAATATGTACTAAACATGCATTTAGAGTATGAAGAGGATACTGAGACAGGATGTGTGGTCCTACTAAAATGGACAAAATAAGAAATGAAATGTGTACAATGAAGTGGAGGTGGCTTAGGGACGGAATGACTTAGGCAGTTGGGATGTCAAGGTGTTTTCGTTCATAAGAGTGATAGAATCTAGGTAGAGCAAGCAGCAGGTGGTAGATCAAAACTATAATCTAGTTTAGATATTCGAGTAGACCTATATCTACATAGTGAAGAAATGAGCCAATTTCATTTCCATGCAAAAAAGGAAAAGGATGGATTTGCTTGTTTTCGCACGAGTAGTGGTGGGCGAAACGGAAGCAATAATGTCGGCTGAAATGAAGAAAAGGAAGGAAAAAAATTTAAAACTTTACTAACTTGAAATCCAATTCTAAAAGATCAAATTCAATGAACCACAAGGAGCGCCGAACAAAAAAAATCATCAAATTTTTTGGGAGGAAAATTTAATTTGTTGTTTCATAAGATATTATTACACATCACGCATGATGCAATGTAATTGTAGAAAGTTTCTCTTACACCATTTGGGGATGCAATGTTGATTCATACCAACACGTGTATGCGTAGATGTGTTCATAGATATATATGGTGTGAATTTGATTGATTGTCATTTCTTTTTTATGTTTATGTACAATACTAAAATAGATATGTGGAAATAAATTGTATAGTGAGAACGACAAGTTGATTTAATGTTCAAAATAATAAAAATATTATTTAATTGATCATTTTCGAATCCATTCGGGTTTGCTATGTTTGTATTTAAAAATTTGGGGGCTTTGCAACAACTGAGCTAAGTTGCATAAGAAATAATATGTTTTATTTGTGATCGCTTGATAAAATTATAATCTTTTATAAGTTCAATTGAGTAAAGAAACAGACATTTTGCATTCAAATAATTTTGCTGGAGTTCCATTGAAACTTTAACTACTCGAATATTTTCTTCATTTGCTGCTAAACTCAGAAAAACATTTTTTGATTTCATCTAGTTTTGATTCGGTGTTGTTTCTAGAGCTTCATGTAAACAATGGCAATTGACTTCTCTATAAATCAAAACTACAGATAAGAAACTACATGTTATAGCTATAGCTCAGTTCTTGTGCAGCAGCTGCTGTTTTGGTTATAGCTGAATTTTTTCATAAATGATTAAATTTGAGGCTGCTTAAAATTTAAATCTTTGTGCGATCTAGTTTTCGTCTACGACACTTTGTCAGCATCATATTATCCTTTTAGAGGTATACTTCCATCACAAAATTGTGTGGGGATCTTCCAAATATGAATAATTAAATCTCTCACAATGGATTCATCAATTTTCTTTTCTTTTTTTTTCTTTTGTTTTTGGTGAGAAGCAGTTTTCTTTTTACTTTTCATTTATTATCTTTTATGAATGAATATCCCTTCATGGAATTGGAATTCATGTGATTGTAGACAGACATTTATCCCATTAGTGTTAATAGTAATAAATAATTTGCATTTGTTTTGAATCTGTAGCCATTGCTGAAAAACTATAGCTAAAGCATTCGTCTCTTCACCATTCTCATTTCAGTGATGAAGAAGGAGTCTTTTACGCATTGGATCTTGGAGGGACAACTTTCATTGTGATGCATGTGCAATTAGGAGGCAAAGCTGGTGGTATTGTTCATCTGGAATTCACTGAGGCATCAATACTCCCTGCATTGATGGGTGGAACTTCAGATGTAAGCAATTATTTTCTTTATACAACCACTTTCTTTCATTTGGACCATGCACTTGATCTCTTAATTTTCCAGATTAATTTTTTTAGGCACTCTTTGACTATATTTTGGAAAAACTAGCAAAATTTGTTGTTGAAGAACAAAAATTCCATCAACCTCCCGGAAGGCAGAGAGAACTTGATTTCAGTTTCTCGTTCCTTGTGATACAAACTTTAATAAATTCTGGTGCTCTTATTCGATGGACAGAAGGCTTTTCCATAAGTGACACTGTAATTCTCTTTTCTCAAACTCATTCCACTTCTTATATGTATGTAAACTTTATTAGCTTAAATTAGTTTAATGCAAACCTCAAATTGCAACAGTGTATTGTTGATTTCTATATAATCTTTTTTTTTTTTTAAATCTTCACCTACCCGGCAATCCCGTAAATGCCCTATTGATTATGAGAGGTAATTGTAGCTCAGAAATCTTACTTTATCGTGTTTTTTAATTTTTGAGTTATATTTTGTTACTCATGGCTGTTTCCCAATGGATATCTTAATTTGATGATGTGCATTACGCCAAACAGTAAACCCGTTCTCGGCCATTTTCTTCTGCCTCCTTCCTTTTTATTTGCTTATCTTTTGAGGTTGTTACAGTTAAAATTTGCATTTGTTATCTAATAGATCATTGTATAAAATATCTGCATTTGCCATTGCAAGAATTGCACCCTCCTCAATTTTAGAAAACTTTAGATACATATACATACACACACACACACACATTTTTCCTGAACACTACATTAACGATTGTATTTTATTATTTTTTTTGGGACTGGTTAGGAACTTACCCATTTAATGATTGCGTAACAAATCACTCGAAAATTTTCACTATAGCCTCAGCCCTCACACTGCTATTATTTTTTAAGTCATAAGGATATGCGTTATTTATCACGGATAGGTTGGCCAAGATATCTTAACTAAACTGACAAAAGCCTTGCAAAGAAAGGGTATTGAAATGTGGGTTGCTGCTCTGGTAAGCATGTTTTCACCAATCCTGGCGATGAACATAATTTGTAATGTCGGCATGTTTGGCTAAGTTTAAAAGCAAGTTAAGTTGAGTTGCTTCCATTTTCCATCTTTGACCTATAAAAACATATTTGTTAGAAACTTACTTATTACATAAAATTAAATGGTTTAAGCTTTGCCAAACATGCCATGAGAAGTGATGCTAGAGGATTTGATGTTAAGAATGTCGTGTTGTAACAGAGATATAATTTTT